CTCGATATCCGTCGTGCTTTTGACTCGGTACCTCACTCTTTACTCCTTTTTAAATTATCTCATTCATTTCGACTCCCACATACACTTGTCGATTGGATTGGTAATTGGCTTCATTTTCGAACTCAGGAATCACCGACAATCTGCCTTCTTACCACTTTCTTGTAAAACCGAATGTTTCAAATCTTCGTTTCTCCCACATGCACTTAAGCTTTGCACGTCTCTAAATCTTGATCCGTCTTCTGCAAACAATGCCTCTATCTGTACTGCTCTGCTTGGAACACATTGATTTGTTGTTTAATTCTTATTTTGAATATTTTTTATTGGCTATAGCAAATGTTGATAATCGATTGTGTTATGTTTTTTGTATGGTGGATAATAGCCCATTGATGGCTTTGTAGCAAATAAACATTGAATTGAATTGAATTATATTTATTTAAGAATTTCTATCTTATTAGCTCTTCCAAAAAACCCAATATAATAACTTGCGCCTGTACCGTATTTAACGCGTGGACCTTTGTGAGCGGTCGCTTTTGTTTTATCATTATCTTTTATTTCATTCTCTGTACTAAACATAACATCAGAGGATAATTGAATAAATGATGTGGATGGAGGTATGCACTCAGCCTCACTGCTGTTCTTGTTCTTGTTCTTGTTGTTACCAAAACTTGCGTCAGTTTTGAACGGACGTGCATGAACTTTTGTATACATAAACTAGAGGAGTTTTCCAAACGTTCAATTACCTTTTTTAAGTTGGACCCCAGGGTTCCCCCTACACCTACAAAGCAAAACAGGGGTTTCAAACTTTAAAAGCGTCCAGCGCCGCAGTTTTTGAAGGACGTGCAGGAAAATGTGTACAACACATAAACTAGAGGTGATTTCCAACAAACGTTCTTCGCCCTTTTTAAAATTTGGACCCCAGGGCTACCCCTACGCCTACAAAAAAAAAACCCCCCAAAAAACAGCAAGGACTGTACGTTATTGCTCATTACCACTAATAAAGTACGTCGCATGAATGGCGCAGTCGGTTAAGGCTGTGTTGTAAAGAACTTTAGGTTGTGAGTTCTAAATGCGTCTTTTTTATTCACTTTTTTCCAAATTTTAAAGATTTTTTTTTTCAAATATAAGTATTTTAACTTTGTACAAATTATCATTCTAAATAATACATGGCGCGGTCGGTTAAGCATGTGTTAACACTTCAAAATGTCTACCAATGCGTGGTGATGGCGTCTTCTTCACATATTCGAAAGGACGTCCGAAAGTCATGTCGAAACTACTTAACAAATGTGCAAACCACATAACGTCATGTCCAAACCACATAACGGCATGTCTAAACCACATAACGTAATGTACAAGCCACATAACATCATGACCATACCACATAACCTCATGACCAAACCACATACATCATGAACAAACCACATAACATCATGACTAAACCACATAACGTCATGACCATACCACATAATATCATGACGATTGCAAATAATAGAGTGTTTGCACATAACCGAAGATACTAACGGCGTTCCATAGGTGATGACAGTTGTCAAATTTTGTTAAACAATCCGGTTGGTTGTTATGATGATTAAATGTAATGGATATTCGTGTCCAGGTCATTACTTACAAAATAAAAAAGCGTGTCCTAATGGAAAAACCCAAGGATGTACCACTTGGCCTAGCTCAGTTAGTAAAGAATCCGAACGGTATCGGAAGGGCTTGGGTAATCCCAATGGGGACATACGTTTTCTAAAATATTTATTATCATCTTAAAATACAATTACAATCATTTTGGAAGTGTATCTCCATACCTAAATTACTATCATGTGATGTGATTTCTGCATTGCGTATTACGCAATACCTTGATAAAAAAAAAAACCTGTCCTAATGGAAAAACCCAAAAATGTGATACCACTTGTCTTGTCGATCAAACAGGTCTAGGAAGATAGAAAGCACACATAAAGCATTAAACGTAGATCATTTTTATTTCACAAACATGAAGTGGATTGTTAACGTAAAGTACTGGAAATACTTAATTTATAAAGACATCATCAGCAAGATTGAGTGAACATAACATCGGAGTTCGTCTCGTTTTATACCACAACAACCCGTGTCATCGGCTGTATATTTTTCAATAATTACTATAAAATTCAATTGACTAATTAGAAATTAAATATATTTAGGTTTGGCTGATAAAAGTTTTGAAATTAGGAAAAACAAGAATCTATATACTTATGCAGATAATATTAATATACTGAATGCTTGCGGTACACCACGTACAGAGAGTTCTGAAAAGAATTGTTGTTTTTTGTTGAGAATATCTCGACGTTTTAATTGAGGTACTTTAAAAGTCCAATCAGGGAAATACTTGTGTGAGAGTCTCACTTTCCAATCATAAGTAAAAGTATTTCCCTGTTTCGAACCCAGGACACATGGTAAACGTCATAACCACTTGACCACGAAAGCATTGTGGTGATTCAGGCTCCAGTAAAATTTGAGTTCCTTTAAATTTTCAACTTGTCTGACGTCACGATTTTGATATATAACAGAAGAGGAATCTGACAAAGAAACTAATATTGTACCGTCAAGAAAGTCTCCTGTAGCTCGTGCAAAGTCGATCCATCCTATAGCAATGGCAAACTGATCCATTGTGACATATGTGCGATCGAACTAGTAAAGGTACCGGTACGTAAAAGCTGCAGAATAGCAGTATTTTAGATTACATTTATATTTACTTTTAATGTTTTTTCCATGTTCCAAATGTTTAAAATGTACATGTACGGTATTGAAGACACACACACACCTGTCTCTTATACACATCTAGATGTGTATAAGAGACAGTTGATACAAATAGCTTAGGCCTACGCTAGTCAAGGTTTCATCCAATTATCCCAACACACATACAGTACAAACGGATTTCTGTTATACATATAATAATGTTAAGCAATTGATAATGAACAGTACATAATATAATAATAATAATAATAATAATAATAATAATAATAATAATAATAATAATAATAATAATAATAATAATTAATAGCGTGATAATAATGACATTATTGAATACAAACGGGAAAGGGTGGACTAGCTTTAATCACAACATTGTGATAATAGTTATGTTTTATACATTTAAAAAAAATTCTTTTTTGATGACAATTGTTTTATATCTAATGGTAAATTACAATTTTGATCCGGTAAAATAAATTCTAAATTGACCAGCCGCAGTACGGGCCTTTGGTATAGTAAGACTCTGACCTTTTTTAAACCTGGTATTTCTTGAATGTTCAACTGTGTTAAAATAAAGATTAAGCTGATGCAGTAAATTTATTGGAACCATCAGTAACTCAAGACAATTTGTGATGCATTATTTTAGTATCAGCTAAACGGGCAATTATTAAAGCATTCACGCCAACACAGACGAAAGAAGAATTTCTGACATTGAACATAATGTAATATTCCTGCGCCTGTGATTAATCAAGCTGCATAAGAATATCCGATTAATAAAATCACTGTAATAATTAATGCAGAAGGCCTACTGTACTGTAATGAACACCGAGAAAGGAAGGAAAGAAGGAAGAAAGATGTTTAAATGTTCATTTAAACTAGCGATTTTACGTACTATTTTTATAAGTGTCTGTCTAAGATAGGCCTTTGCCTACATCAGAAATCATATTTTTCTTAAAAAATGAAATTTTGACGTAGTTACCGTAAATGCTCGAATAAGCGATGTGGTACTTATAGAAATTTTGGAGACTTCAGTGCGGCGCTCATTCGAGAGCGGCACTTATTCGAGCAACGCCCCCCCCCCCCCCCCCCCCCCCCCCCCCTTCCCCCTAGCCAGCAAACTCGCCTCCTGACACAACACAGTCGCCCTCTCTACAAACTCGCCCCTTGACAAACTCGTTCCCTAACAAACTCGTCCCTTACCAAACTCGACCATACCTTTCGGTTACCGTAGGAATTGGTTTAAAGTATAACTCTTTACCGCCCTCTATTAATAATTTAAATTCAATCTTTCTTGGTCCAATATACAAAAAAAAAATACATCAGAAAATATTTGTTTAGCTTATGACAAAAATAAATACAAATAAAAACAATTTTACACTTGTTTGTATCATTAAAAAAGAACCTCTAATACAGATATACTGACGATATTTTGAATTACATTAATAGAGGCAGTAGAGAGTTATACAATACTTCAAGCTAATCTACGGGTTAAGTGAAATGGTAGGGGGGAAAGTTTGTTAGGGGCGAGCTTGTTAAAGAGCGAATTTGTTAGGGGCGAGTTTGTCAGGGGGCGAATTTGTCAAGGACGACTGTGTTGTGTCAGGAGGCGAGTTTGCATGCTAGGGGGAAAGTATATATGCTAGGGGCGATTTTTGTCAGGGGGAGAGTTTGTCAAGGGGCGAGTTTATAAAGCCGAAAGGAGCGACTGTGTAGAGAATGGGTAGGAGCGGATCCAGGATTTGAAAGAGGGGGGTTCAAAATGTTCCAAAAAACAGAAAATCACAGGGGAATTTAAAAAAAAAAAAAAAAAAAAAATCAATGGTTGGCCTAGGCAATTCTTCCATGGATTAATGAACCGATAGGCCTGAAAAAAGTACTTTCGTATAATTTAGTATGACGTCGAACCAAAAACAGTGGTGTTTTTAATGTTTATTTAATTGAAAGCTAGTTGGGCTATCAAAGCCTAATTTGTTCGATCTGCTACATGACTACTGGTACGGTATGCCTAATTGGTAGGTTAGCATGCCATGTGAAAGCCAGGACCAGTAGTATTTTGTTGTTTCTTCACAGAGGGGGTGGGGGTTTCGTCCGAACCCCTTGAACCCCCCCCCCCTCTTCCTGAATCCGCCACTGCAGGGGGAGATTTTATTGGGTGGGGGCGAGTTTGTTAGGGGGGGCACGTCTGTAAGGGGCGAGTTTGTTATTTAAGGGGAGAGTTTGTAAGTGGCGAGTTTGTAAGGTGGTGAGATTGCAGGGCGAGTTTGATAGGGGGACTTGACTGGAATCCGTTTTGCGCATTCGGCCTTCCATATCGAGCAGCTCAAAACAATCCTGAACACACAGATGCAGGGTTATCGTCACATGCTTTTATCTTCTGCTCCGACAAAATTAGCAAATTGTAAAGCATTTTTTCAGTTCATGTATCTATTGCTTGATTAGTTTCTGGTAGCGCAACCTAATGGACTCTGAGACATTGCATAGAGCCTAGGACATTAGCTAGGCCCAGGTAGGCTAGCTACCTACAGGCTAGGCTAGCTAGGCCTATGCAGTATGCTAGTAGGAACAAAGCCTAGGCTAGGCCTACCTTAGTAGTAGGGCCCAGCTAGGCCTAGCCTAGGTAGTCTTTAGGCCCTAGACTAGGGACCCAACTAACCCTCTACCCTAGAAGGCAGGCATATACTAGGCCCTGGCTGGGCCTAGGTAATGGAATTTACCTGTCGCTTTGTCCACTTACCATTGCCACTGGCAGTGCCACTGGGCTTCGCTTTAGGTCCTACTGTAGTATGTTATCGTAGACTTTAGGTTCAGTTCAGCTACTCCCTGCCCATCCATAGTTATTGTCAAAATAAACCACAACAGGATAGGCAGTAAAAATAATGTTATTTGGATAGGCAGATTATTATTTTTTTTACTTTTTGATCCGACGACGACGGACAAAGTTTATGGGCAAGTTTGTTAGTGGGCGAGTTTGTTTAGGGGTGAGTTTGTTAGGGGGCGAGTTTGTTAGGGGACGACTGTGTTATCTTTAGTTTGTAAATTTATTTTTAAAATTATATTTGGAATAAAAATTGTTTTAAAATTCTTTGCCTCTGTGACTATACAGGTTGGAGGTCGTCTAGGCTTTCAGCTCTTTCTCTGCTGTCTTCACATCGGTGCTTTAAAAGGCAGTGTCACTCACAGACAGTTATTATACTACAGCCCGAAATGAGGGTTAAGATACTATCAGCATTGCAAGACAATTATATGTACTTGTTGATTGATGAGCAAACTAATGAGGCCGCTATTGTTGACCCAGTTGAGCCTGAGAAGGTAGGCCAAGAGAACCTCTTCACAGACATATAATATCAGTGGCAGACAACACATAGAATACTGTACATTGGGTTGGTGAAGAAACAATTTGTTTAAATATTTTCATCGAAATGTCATCCGCATCTAATTTCTAGTTTATTGGTTATTAATATTTCAGTGGTATCTAAAGTCTTGTCAAGACAAAAAAGAAAAAATTAATTAGTAATACTGATGTGAACCTGTTATGATACAATACAGTATTATATACTGGATACTTCTAAGTCTTATTCTTGGTCCATCTACAACCCTCTAATTCCATTAGATGAAGGTGTTTTTGTGTGTAGATTTGCAGGGTTAAACAATGGTGGGCAATGTGGGATTAGTGGGCCTATGCCCACCCGATAATTATGGTGAGGAGGCCAACCCGCCTGTAGAGACCCCACCAATAATTTTGCAATTATAAAACTCCGGATTTTGGTAAAACAACAGGCTGATAAGACGTCGGCTGCTGCTAACTCCTAACCGACTGACTTCTGGTGAGTCTACACTCCCAATCGTACAAGCTTGAGCAATTTCTTACATACTTCAGCCAATTATATGCGAGGCATTGAACACCAGTCGTCTATTCTTTATTTCATTGTATTTGGCGATTTTACCCAGTAGGTATTATAGGCTTGGACGAGGATTATGTATTATGAATATAATCACCAAGTTAGTCTCCCAGAATGCACAGTACTCACCAGGCTCACCCAACCGTGCCACTGCCTAATATTAAAGTTTATTAGACAGTAATGATTAAGCCATTTACAAGAGAAAAGATAAAATTTAATTGATTTGATATAAATTTATATGTGAATAAAGAATTAGATCTTAATTTTTATCTGTTTCACAGGCCCTTGAAGCAGTCAGACAAGAAGATGTAAAGTTGACCTCTGTACTCACAACGCATCATCATTGGTAGGTTTCATTGTTAATGCTGCATTCATATCTGAACAACAATTTCAGAGAGGGTTTTTTCGGAATCACTGATCATCAGCAACCCTATTCTTAATATTTGATTTTTGATCAGTTTTGGTAAGATTTCCGATCTGATCTATGGTTCTGTTGGTTGTGTAAACAGCACTTCCTATCAGTATAATTATATTTATAAGCTTACCAAAAATCAATATTGAAAAGACGTTCTGATTTCTTTAGAGGTTTGATGCTACAGAAGTGACACTGATTCTTTGTCATTTAAGGGATCATTCTGGAGGAAATGAAAAGCTTGTTACACTGCAACAAGGCCTCAGTGTTTATGGTGGAGATGACAGAATTCCAGCTCTGACCAACAAAGTTAACCATGATGATGTCTTTAAGGTAATTATTTTATTTCATTCAGCTTTAGGCACTAGGGCCAAAGATTTGCCAAACAGTGAACTAAATCGCTGTTCAAAGTGGCGATCCCTTCACAAGACAAACATACTCACAAGACTAAGTCTTGTTATGAGGCTTAGGGAGTGGAGTTGTTTTTGTCGGGAGAAAAAAATCCTGTTATCATGACAGGAATTGAACCTAGGACTCTGGTACTGGAAAGCATTACCAAACATTTTGCCGTGCTAACCTGTTATGAATGATTTTTGCATTCATAACAATTCTGAGTTGAGAATCATGGATCAAGAATCCTTTTTTTTTGCCAAAGTGACCCCAGTAGCAATCGAGGACCTATTGACCAAAGGGGAATAACTTATGCTTGCGAGAAAAAAGTTTTGCTGTGTTTCCTTACCTGTTGTGCCCCCCCAGATCCAAATACCAACAATTGAGATTTATAGCGTATGCCACATTGTGTACAGAAAGCTTATAATGAATTATTATTGTCAATTCCCAACATTGTTTTTCTTAATCAATTTCATTTCATTCATTTATTATTTTCAGGCAATATAAAATATAAGCAGACAAAGACACAAGTCTGAGGATAACCTAAAGTAAACTTAATTACTATTGAGAGGCTCTCCAAACAAAAACAAGACAACAAAAATATAGAGAATGATAAAATACAGAATAACAATATAATTAAAACTTTAATCAACAATGTTTTAACACAATAAACAATAAAAGGGAGGCCAAAAACAAAAAACAATTAAAGGGAGGCCAAAAAAAAAAAAAAACAATTAAAGGGAGGCCAAAAAAAAAAAAAATATATGACAGCAATGTAATAATATTACATACCTGTAGTTCTCCTGACTATTATTATGATGTTTAATTTGATTTGTAGATTGGGTCTTTGAATATACGCTGTCTCTTCACTCCATGCCACACATCAGGTCATATTTGTTTTTATGTCACAGGGCAAGATGGCCAAGAACCTGCTGTATTCACAGGTAATCCTAATTGTTAATTTGAGACACACAAGAAAAGATTACAGCACAGAAAATCCCAAAAAGCGAGAAGGGATGACGAAACATCCATTATCCTATGTAGAATGATTCCAAATTTTGTTTGAGCTAGTGGATATAGTGGACAACCAATGACATTAAACTGCTAACAACTTGTTAATTGTATATATTTTTTATGTTGTAATAGGGGATACCCTGTTTGTGGCAGGCTGTGGTAAATTCTTTGAAGGTACACCTGATCAGATGTACAGTGCTTTAATCAACACCCTCAGCAAACTTCCAGATGAGACGGTGAGTGATATTGAATTTGTGTGACTAATGTTGAGAATGACTTGCTAAATTTTTCTCAAGTATTTGGGAACGTACTGAGTATTTAGCGTGATAACATGTTTAGCATTGCAGTACCTGCTGCTACTTGGAGATTAATTTCAACAATAGTCATGAAAAAAATTTCCAAAAGGGATGATGCGTATAATACTTAATGTCCAGAAGACCTGAAAAGTTAAACATTAGCAAGTATTAGGTTTATAAATCAGGGTTCGTATGGTTCTTAAAAATCACTTGAAAATCCTTGAATTTGAGAATCCTTGGAATTCTTGAAAACCTTTAAAAGTTCTTGAAAACAGATTTTACATTTTTATGTTTTTCTAAACAGAACACATTCTTTGTCCTCACATGCCACTTGCTGGTTGATTGTTTTAAACAACAGGCCGCACTTCCTAAACTCTCTCCGCTAATTTGTTACATTTTTTAGTGGGTCATGTGCAAACATGTGCTCGGGTGTGATAATGTCAGATCGCCCAAAGTGCAACAGGAACAGGCTCAATGTAATCAAAGTTTTTAACTAAACAGATTTATTAAAACAAATAAGAAACCCTCATGGTTATATTTTAGATTAAAATCTAAATAAATCTAACAAATTTAAATTTCAATCTCTACATATTTGCTCCTTAATTAAATTAGCAACATGTTTTGAGAAGTGTTTTAATTTTAAAGAATGAATGAGGCTATGAATTTGTGATTTACACTGACGAATCTAACTACATCTAAAAGTCTGATTTGTTAGAAGATATGAAAAAGCAGTAAAACCATGGTTATATGGTAGGTGCTTGAAATGACACAAAGCCAGCTAAGTTTTTTACTGTGTAAAATGTCCTTGAAAAATCAAATCTATTTCCTTGGAAAGTCCTTAAAAAGTATTTGTCAAAAATGTTTGCGAACCCTGATAAATGGACCAATGTCGTCTGGGAATTACATTCTTCTTTCGCTGCATTCCCTTAATGGGGGCAAGTTGTATTAGACTCACTACCTGTATATTATTATTATTTTTCTTTCTATTTACTTGCTTACTTATTTTTATTTTATTTTTTTTATCTATTTATTTTTTTAATTCTTAACTCACCTGCAGGTATACATCCAATGATTCTATTCTGAAGTGATTTCAATCATCTCCTTCACGTTGTTACAATTAGAGTCGGCAAGAAGTGAGCTAGGGATTAAAAGTTGTGACGTCAAGAATCTGATCGTTATCAAGATTTTGTTTTAATTATTAATTTTCTTTATAATACCGGTATAGAAAGTGTATTGTGGTCATGAATACACTGTGAATAACCTGAAGTTTGCAGAACATGTGGAATGTGGTAATGCTGATATTAAAGAAAAGATGTCCTGGTCTCAGGTATGACTTTTCAATCACATAGTAACTGCAGTAAATGATTCCCAGCCAGCCTCC